ACTCATATGTGGATCCTAGAACCAAACCCTGACAAGTGAATATGTATCCAGACATAACTACAGGAACCAGGATAATGGAAAGGAACCAGGGAGGTAAAGGAAAAGAAAGAACCTGAGAGAGAGGAACAATAGAAAACAGGTGTTACTAATGGAAATATGGAAAAAAATGGGGTTATTTTAATGGGAGGGGGAGGGAGGGTTATACAAGGAACCTAGGGGATAAAGGGAAAGAAGGAGCTCAAGAGAGGTGAGACCATAGGAGAAGGGTATTATTAGGAGAGAAATGGGAAGAATGGGTGCACCTTAATTGGGGAAACCATGATGGAGGGGTTAGACAATGCGAGAGATAAATAGTGTCTAGCTAGTTTTAAAAAAACAGAGGGAACCATATTAGCCCAACAACCTACTGACAAATCTTACATACAACTAGTTCAAGGAACAAAATACATGTCTAGTCAAGGTTTATCTGAGAACATTTTGGTTTTGCCCAAGCTTTACCTATATAGGGCATGGTAATTAAAAGTACCAGACTGGTGGAACTAACCTTGGATTTTTTTTTCATGTGTATGTGTGTATTGCCTGCATGTAGGTAAGTGCACCTGTGTCATGCGATGCCCATGGAGAACAGAAAAGGCTGCTGGACCCCCTGGAACTGGAGTTAACGGAGTTGTTAGCTGTCATGTGGGTGCTGGGATTCAAACTCGAGTCTTCTGAAAGAACAACCAGTGCTCTTAACTGTCGAGCCATCTCTCCAGCCCCACCTTCTTGGATGTTTAACAGCCATACTTTGAGGCGTATACTAATCTGGTCAGAGAGACTTAAAGGACAGTTTTTGCTCCTTGCCCTCTAAGGTCGACTAAGTTCCAGGGGACTACTCTGAGCATCTCTCAAAATGTCCCGTAACTGTGGTGAGTCACCTGTCATCTTGATCAAGGAGGCCAAGGAGACCCCATCAGATTGACTTGAACCAGTGTCCAGTCTACAAAGAGGAGGGTCAACACAGAGGAAACATTTCCTCCATGCTTCCAAGTGAAGTCAGCCACAGTCAAGTAGGACCTTTGACTTATCTTCACATAGATGGAACTGGTAAAAGAATGGAGCCAAGGGCTCCTCTCAAGCCCATGTGACCCCTGAGGAACAGATCCTCAAAAGACTTTAAGAGTAAAACTAAATTGGCTTATTTGGGCCAAGTGTATGGTCTTAAACACCCAAAAGGTATAACCAAAGATTAAAGTGATCAGTATATTTCTTAAAGAGTCCATGTATAAAGCTAAAGGCTATATAACAAGAAACAATGCCAGACAGGCAATACCTTCCTTTGAGTTGTTGGCCAGGGTGGCCAAAGGGACTCCCAGATAGTAACCCAGCATAGAAATGGGAAAATGAACAGCAGACCCCAATCTTTTCTAAAGGAATGTTGGCAACTGGTTGCTGCTAGGTGAGGAAGAGCTGATCTTCTAAAACAAGGGACTCTAGATAGGCTGACTAGATTCAGCGGATGGACTAGCACTGGAGAATGGCTGGGGGGCTGACAACACAGTAACAGGTATGACAGAGTATATGGGTTCCAGTGGGGTTACGGGGAGGCTATGGGAGGGTGCCATTGAGATGCGGGTATAAAGATGAATAAGATTGTTTGGGGTGTTCTGTATGAAATACACATACACACACAAAATCAATTAAAAAATGAGTTATATTTGAGGAAAAAATATAAAAATTTGCTTCATGTTAATTAGTAGATATGAAAAACATTACCATTGAAATCGACCTGGTGAATTTATATCCATGCTTAGGTGCTAAGGATCCCAGAAAGCAACTGACTTTGACAAGTAATAATCAGATATACAGAGATTAGAAACGTATGTGCAAACATCTGTTATTTGCATTAAAAATGAGTTTTTCTGCTGGGCGTGGTGGTGCACGCCTTTAATCCCAGCACTTGGGAGGCAGAGGCAGGCGATCTCTGTGAGTTCAAGGCCAGCCTGGTCTACATAGTGAGTTCCAGGACAGCTGTGGCTACAAGGAGACCCTGTCTCAAAAAGACAAAAAAAAAAAAAAGTTTTGGGGGACTGGAGAGACGGCTCAGTGGTTAAGAACACTGGTTGTTCTTGCAGAAGACCCAGGTTCGAATCCCAGCACCCACATGGCAGCTAACAACTGTCCGTAACTCCAGTCCCAGAGGATCCAACAGCCTCTTCTGACCTCCGCAGGCATTGCACGACACGGATGCAGTGACCTACATGCAGGCAACACATGCATACACATAAAATAAAAATTTAAAAAAAATTTTTTTTTTAAATGAGCTTTTCTGCTGGGCGTGGTGGCACACTCCTTTAATCCCAGCACTGGGGATGCAGAGGCAGGCGGATCTCTGTGAGTTCGAGGCCAGCCTGGGCTATATAGTGAATTCCAGGACAGCTGGGGCTACAGGGAGATCCTGTCTCAAAAAGACCAAAAAAAAAAAAAAAAAAAAAAGCGAGGACAGCTATAACCTTTAACTCATAGAAGTTAATTAACTTAGAGTGTATTATGTATGAAGTGGTCAATAAATAATTCCCACAAGTTAAAAGAAAAAGGACAGAAATCTTTTGCTGTTTAAGAGTTTATACTCTGTGTGGCTGGGATCTGGGGAGATGGCTCAGCTGGTAGAGTACATACTGTGCAAGCATGAGGACCTGAGTTCAGCACTCACATAAAGCTAGACATGGTTGGGGCTGGAGAGATGGCTCAGCGGTTAAGAGCACTGACTGCTCTTGCAGAGGACCCGGGTTCGATTCCCAGCACCCACATGGTGGCTATGGACCGTCCTTAACTCCAGTTCCAGGGGAATCTGAAGCCCTCTTCTGACTTCCATGGCATTGCACGGCACAGGTGCACTCACATACATGCAGGCAATACACTCATACACATAAAATAAAAATAATAACAAAAAAAAAAAAGCTAGACATGGCAAGTGCATCTGTAATTCCATTGCTGGGAAGGCAAAGACAGAAGGATCTCTGGGGCTTACCTGTTAACCAGTCTAGCCAATCAGAAAGCTCCAGAATCACTGAGAGACCCTATCTCAAAAAATAAAGTGAATAGGCTGGAGAGATGGCTCAGAGATTAAGAGTACTTGCTGCTCTCGCAGTGGACCCAAGTTCAGTTACCAGCACACATATAGGGCAGTTCATAACCATCTGTAACTCCAACTCCAAGGAATCCAATGCCCTATTCTGGCCTCTGTGGGCTCCTGTGCACACATGGTACACTTACATACACTCAGGCATACACACATACACATAAAAATAAATATATGTCTTTCACATGCAAAAGAGTTTACACTCTAGCAAGGAAATAAGTTTGCAAGTAATTATATTTCAAGATGGAGTGTGGTGAAGAGTTTGGAGAGGCAGTCAACCTGTCCATTTTTCCCTGCCTTCCTCCCCAATGTTTGATCTCACTTGACTGATAATGACAATGACCTTGTCCATGTGAATCCATGGAAATGCTAATATCAGCTACCATTTATTAAGCTCTGAATACCAAGCACAGTATTAGCCATCTCCTACTCCATGAAAGCCTCCCTGCAGCCTGGAAGGGAGATAATATTCTCCTAATTTTATATATGGAGAAACAGGCTCAGAGAGATGAGGTAAAGATACCCAAAGCCACCCAACCCAAAATTGGCAGAGATAAGATTCAAATTGGTATGTCTGACTCCAAAGTCGAAGTGTGTGTGTGTGGGGGGGTGGCTTTGTCACCAGCCTTCTTATGACCCATAATCTCTGGTCACTTATAGTGTGAACAGGAATAAAATTCCAAGTTTAGCCAGGCTGTGGACTGATTACCTCGGGAAAAGCCAGGAAGCCTCCAGAGGGACTTCCCCTGAAACGTACCAACTCTTGGCTTGGCAGCTGGGTTTGGCAGGAAGAAAAGCTGCTCCTCAAGCTCTGCCTGAAAATTGTGGCCTTCCTGGCCTTCAGGCCTTGTTTCCCAGAACCCGCAGGAAGCACCCATCCCCACCTAACCTGTGGCGCAGCTCAGGACAACTCCACGCTCAGCGTGGTTCCAGTGCCTCCAGCTCTGCCCCCTAGGTTACCACTCTACTGTTTTTTGCACCTTTGTTATAGAGCAGGGTCAGAGGCCTTGATAAACCCCCTGAGACTTCTTCCCTGAGACTGCATCCAGCCCATCCCCACAGCTGTCCTGCCAGGTGTTCCAGGAAACTGCTTTGTGTCTTTTTCTTTCGTTCTTCCAGGAGAGTGGAGCAAAGGAGACTTGATGCCTCCTTTGGTGGCCGTGAGGGAGAAAGGCAACACTTTCTCCATCACCTGGATCCATTCATCCAGGGCTTCCTCTTCCTGTGCCTGGATCTCATAGGTCAGACTGTCACCTGAACAAGGGGTGGAGGGACAGGCTGAGAACTATGTGCCCTCTAGGGAGCCCAAGCAGCCCAATAGCACAGAGGTTGCAGCAGATTTGGACTGGTTTTACTTTGTACTAGCTATTGATATGGGGTAGATCACTTTCTTAAGATTTATCTCCTTCCCTGCAAAAGGGCTAAGTGAAGATGGAATGAGATACTTGTGAAATGATTAATGTAAGGCTTGCCGTGTAGAAATGCAATAGACAGGAAACATTGCTATACTATGAGGCCAGGCAGATGTCTAGCTAGTTGTTGATCTGTGCCCCTTGTGTAATCTAACCTCTGGACTGTTAAATGAATTGAGGAGAATCAACTCTGTGCTTTTGTTTGTCTGCTTGTTTGAGATAGGGTCTCCTTAATTAGCCCAGGCTGGTGTGCTCCTCTGTGCAGATGTGTGTGAAGGTAAGAGGTTTATGTTGGGGTGTCTCCTCTCACTGAATCTGAAACTGGCCATTTCGGCTAGACTAGCTGGCCAGGAAGTCACTGGGGTCCCCTTGTCTCCACTCCCGAGTGCTGAAGTTAAAGGCACCACTGCTATTCTCAACTTTTTATGTGCGTTCCTTGGATCCAGACTCAGATCCTTCCTCACACTTGCAAGCACTTTACCCACTGAGCCATCTGCCCGGCTGTGGTATAGCAGTTTCCTCCAAATAGGGACAACTACAGAAGGTAGACAGCAGGATGTCTGAAGGGCGGTAAACAACAGGACCATCTAGGAGGCAGCAAAACAAACACTCCATCCTACAGGGAAGCGCCTTAAGCTCAGGAAGTAAACAACTCAGTAGTTTCAGGAAGCCCCTGAAATTGACCAGGTTCACTAGACACCCCCCCTCCCCCAAGCATATATAAGCCCTAAGGTCTGCTGAGAGACGTTCTCAGACCAGCCAATCCCCCTAGAAGCAGCAGAAACCCGCCAAACTGTCTGGAAAATACTGACCCAGCAGAGCCATCTGGAAATCACACTCTGCAGCCTGTTGAGCTGCCTGTAGGTTGTGCAGTGTGCGCCAGGCTTCCTGCTTTCATAAGTGGCCACTCGTCCTGGGGTAGACTGTGTCATTTCTGCTCCTGTAAATAAAATTCATTAGTTCACCAAGTTGGATGTTAGTGATATTCTTACTTTGGTCTGTCTTTAGTTCCCTGTCTGGGGTGAGTGGACATTATTCATGTCTCCCCAGAATAGTGCACTAGCCCCATAGATGATGGTTAATCCTGACTGTCAACTTGACTGAACTGAGGGATGCCTACAAGGTTAGTAAAGCATACCCTGTGGTGTGCCCATAGATAATTACTGGATCCTGAGGGTTCCGACCTAATCAGTGAATTAATCTGTTGATGGATTTAAAATTTGGATTGAGTCAGGCGTGGTTGCACACGCCTTTGATCCCAGCAGTCAGGAGGCTAAGGCAGGTAGATCCCTGTGGTCAAGTTCCAGGCCAGCTGGGGTTAGAGGGCGAGCCTGTCTCAAACAAAAAACCAAAAAATTTGGATTGACTACTGAAAGGTGGAAGAACTGGAGAGCAGGACCGACTGGAGGAAGTGGGTCACTGGGAACACACCTTTGAATCATGTCTTGGCCCTGGCCCTTCCTGTTACTTTACTTCCTGGTTTTCATGAGGTGATCAGCCTTCTGTGCCACATTCCTAATGCTACCATGACATTCAGAGGCCCACGGACTGACACCTCTGAAACCATGAGCCAAAATAAATCTTTCATCCTTGGCTTCTCAGAGGTGTTTGTTAGAGCTATAAAAGGTCTGAGAGACATAGCTCTCCTGGGGAGATGGTGTGCTGTGACATGAGTGGTGGACTAGTTCACTGGAGATGGGATGCTGCAATATGTTCTTTGCTGTCCCGTGTCCATCACCCACATTTCCTTCTTTGCAAATGCTGATCTAGGTAGAGACTGAGCCAGCAGGGACTAGTGTCTTGGGGGAAGACACCTGCCATCAGGACTGCACCAAGCCTACAGACTCACCCCAGTCACCCAGCCAGTGGAGGAGGTCATACAGGTGTTTCTCTTTAGTCTTAGCATCTTTAGAGAAGGAGGCAGTTTTCTCCAGCAAGATGAATCTCTTTTTGCTGTGGTTGGTGAGGCTTTGCCTTTTCTTTTAAATCATACCCTAATTCTTCCTGGAAGCAGTTGATGGCACAATTGACATTGTACAAGATGTCTGAGAGCTGGGTAGAAATATCCTATATGGGGGGCAGCAGATTACAGAGCTTAGAAGTGTAGACCCTGAAGTTAGATGTCACCTGCTAGGAGTGTGACCTTAGGCATCTTTAGGATTTTCTTTTTTAATGTGTATGAGTGTTTTGCCTGCATGTATGTAAGTGAACCACAAGTGTGTGATGCCTGTGGAGGCCAGAAGATGGCATCAGATCCCCCTGGAACTGGAATTATAGGTGGTTGTTTATCACCATGTAGTTGCTGGGGACTGAACCTGGGTGGGTCTTCTCCAAGAGCAGCAAGTGCTCTTAACTGCTGAGCCATCTCTCCAGCTCCCTCTGTAGGATTTTTTACCAGTAAAATGAAGATCATTACAGTACTTAATGTCACAGGGTTTTATGAGAATTAAATGAATTAATATTTGTTAAGTACTTGGAACTGTGCCTGGAACACAGAGAAAGCCCTATCATCATTTTGATTACTAAGGTCAGTGATACTGAAGACCCATAGTGAACACGTCTTCAGAATTTCAGAACTTGCTAGAGACTTCTGGATATCTTTCTTCACAAGGATCCAGAGGCAATATGGAAAAAACAAGGCCCCAAGAAACCCTCTGGGTCAAAGGGTCAAGTGAAAACCTGTGCCAGAGCTCCATGCAGAGGGTGCCCTGACCCCTTGGTCATCACCCCTAAGAAGTGTTTCCAGGGTAGTTTGTCGACATAGTATGAATAAAAAATCTGGACCCTCTTCCTGACCTGCTAGGACCCAACCACTGGTGTCG